CTTGATAAGATTTTATTTATTTTTTTTTTTTTTGCACTATATAAATACCTCCGTCTTCATCTGGACAACAGACTGATTTTACGCAAAATCAACTACCCAGAACTCTCTCTTTAGGAGACTTTCATCGTAAAACACTGTCCTCAGTAGGAGGCTTCTTCAAACTGGATACAGACTGCTACGGGAGTTCCTGCCTGTTGATAGCTATCAGCCTCTACAACAATACTTTAAAGAAGCTTGACAAAATAATATGACTTACAACAACATTTAATCTGCCTTAGTTGGTCAATAAAGTATTTCTAAATTTAATCGAACTGAATTTGAACTGAAGGAACCATCGATGTGTATCAATGGAACAGACTCCGTGCCTGACAGACTGTACCCAGGGTAAAATGTCCCCCTCCTCTTACGTCATCACGCACCGTCAGCTGTTGACGGACGGAGGGGGGGGGTTCTCTCTGGTGTCGACCTCCGGGGCCGCTCTGAATGCTCTTTCCCCGGCTCTGTGCTGTCACTGCGGCCGCTTTCAAAGGCACATGTTGTTTGTGGACCGTTCAGTAACCGAACCTATGCTGCCATGATTGCTTTGTGTCGCCTGGTTCACAGAGGACTGCCGAGCATCCGGCCGTCTTGCCGTTTGTTCGCCGGACAGGTGGATGCGGCTCCCCCGGTCCGGACAGCCAGCTCATCCAGGTATCCCCGCTAGCTTCCCGGCTAACAGGTGTCCTCCACCAGCCTGGGCTGGGTGCTGGTACCGCCGTGGTTCTGAGTGGAAATTATGGCGCGATGTTGGTGTTGATGTTGATTTAAACCACTCCATTATTTAACCGCTACCGTCTGTCACCTTGTAATGTCTTTAAAGCATTAACAGATTTAAATATCATTCATACATTTTAGCAAATTTAACCAGAGTCGTTTCTTTATATAGCAGCTTCAAATCTAAAGCTAGTGGTAAAACTAAATTAAATCTGAATTTCTGAAAATGTGTCCTGAAATCTAAATGCTAATATACATGAACACCAAGTTAGCATCTCAGCTACATTGCAGGATTTCAAATATTTTTTTTTAAATAAAGATTATATTTTTATCCTCCATATTCTTAGAATTTGTGCCTTAGGAATCGGTTACAAATCCTAATCTATATTTTATTCGTTTGTCTAAAAGATTTTGAATACATTTTAAGATTATATGGATATATGCTATATCTGCATGTTTTGGCCTGTGGATGATCTGTGTGATTTTCACATTACACGTATCTCTTAGTTGTAGAAAGAAAATATGTGACCAAGCTAATTCCTAAGGTTAAATATTACATATGAATAGTTCCTTTTTAAACATTGGCTCGAACTAAAAAAATATCAGCACTGACTTTTTTTTAAGTTGCATTCTTGCAGATATTTATTTTAAGTAACAGCAGGGTTCCTGTTAGACATGCTGGGAGATTCTGAGTAACACTGAGTAAAACTAATACGGTGTCACATAGATAGATAGATAGATAGATAGATAGATAGATAGATTATTACTGAATGTATGACAAAAACATGAGTTCTATCTATATTTTAAAAAGAAAATTAGGCTGAGGTAGTAATAACTTCCTTAACTTTTAAAATACATTTGCTACTCTCATGTAGAAATTATCTGATCTTGTGATATTTGATCGTCACAACAGTAAATTTAGCAATAAAGCCTATTGATGTGAATATCTGTGCTGCACCAGCAGATGGAAGCAAAGTAATTTACTCAAAGATTATCTATGGATTGGAAAATAGTATTGCATAACATCTTGTGGCGCTCTGTTTAATTGGTACATTCTCCTCATCAGGCTAGAAAACAAAGATACTCTGATTGTTTTTGTCATCAGAATCTGTGACTACTGAACATTTATCAACCCTCCTCAACTTGAATGTGTTTTTCTCCCCCTCAGTCCTGTCAACTTGACTTATGACGTGTTTGACGGTAAAGGAGAGAGCACTCCCCTGGTGTTTCTCCATGGCCTCTTCGGCAGTAAATCCAACTTCCACTCCATCGCCAAGTCCTTGGTGCAGCGCACAGGCCGAAAGGTAACGCATTGATGAAGACTTCACACCCGTCTGTTGTTACGTCTGGAACAGTTCGTCATTGTGCGCTCGCTTTTGTCCGCAGCCGCTCGTCAATAGCTCTTTTTAGAGAAATTGGACATGTGCTGGCAGCAGTCATTTGATGCCGCCTCTCGGCTGATAAATGACACCTGCTTGGCTCAACTTGAATACGTTTGTCACAACACCTCTTTTGTTGGTGACGTCAGGGCTTCCCGGGCTGAGAAAATTCGCTCTGTTGCCTCCTTTTCCCCCCATTCCAAGTGTCTTACCTGTCCTTTGTCCAGTCAGGTGTTGACTGTAGATGCCCGTAACCACGGTAACAGCCCTCACACTCCAGAGCTGACCTATGAAGCGATGGCCGCCGATTTGAAACATCTCCTCAGCCAGCTGCACATCGAGAAGTGCGTCCTGATCGGCCACAGCATGGGCGGGAAGACCGCCATGACAACCGCTCTGACACAGGTGGGCAATCCCTAAATGTCAGCGTGTGACGAGGCGAGGCTGCCATCTACACCGACCTTTTAGGTCAGAGAGGATTCAGGCACTGGCTCATTTTTAACATGAGATAATGACACAGCAAAGTTCACACCTAAATGAAATTTAATATTTAATTTGGGTTACAACACTTGAATTATCTGGTATCTTGTTTCTTTTGGATTCATTACATCTCTTATCAGAATCACATTTTCTAACAGTGAACAGTTTTAGCTTATAAATGAACTCATGAGGCAGGAATGTCGAACTCATTTTTATTTTGGGCCATATCGAGATTATGAACGTCCTTAAAACTTATTAATAAACCTCTAAAATATGAATAAATATCCGCCTCTGCACTCGATGAGTCCTTCTTAAAGTTATATAAAACCAAACATTGATGTAATACATGAGAAAACAACAGAAAAAGATTATGGCCACGGAAAAATACAAGAATTCTGGCTTTAGTCTTGTGGGGTCAAAGGTCAGAATTCTGAGGATTTTGACTGAGTTTTTCTCAGAATTCTGACTTTTTATCTTAAAAGACTAAAGTCAGAATAATATTCTGAGAAGAAATTCAGATAATTTTTTCCTGTGGCCCAAGTTCTCTTCCATTGAAAACTACTTTAATTTAATTGATAAAATATTATTTAAGCATCCTGTGGTTATTTTCAATGTTCTGTCTACATGTCCCTCTGGGCCACATAGACTTGCTTATTAACTTATTTATCTTCTATGCTAATTAGTCCTAACGTCCTTAAAGTTAGATGTTGGTATTTTAAACTTCTAATCAGGTCCTTCAAAGCTGAGATTCCTGTTTTTCCTCACAGCCAGGCCTGTCACAACAACAAATTTTGTCCCAGTAATTTTTGCGATAAACGATAATATTGTTGTTTTGAGACTGTTTTAAGGTATTATATCGATGTTAACTTGAAAATAATTCATGTTTGCCTTTTGAAAAACCAGTGAATTAGAATTTTGTAACAAACAATTCACGTTAGGATAAAACACGACAACAAATTAAAGTCACAACCTAAACCACAAATAAAATGGATTATAATGTCTAAAAGAATATTAATCATCAGAACGGAAATGATCACGTTTATTTTAATTGCGGCAGGCTTGTCCGCAGCTGCCAGTCTCAGCGTCTCTTTGTTGTTGTTTGCAGCCCAGTTTGGTGGAGCGGCTGGTGGTGGTGGACATCAGCCCGGCCCAGACCACCACGCGCACCAACTTCCGCTACTACATCCAGGCCATGCAGGAGATGAAGATCTCCACTGACATCCCTCGCTCCACCGCCAGGCGGATGGCTGAGGATCAGCTGCGGAGCTTAGTGAAGGTTCGAAACGCCACGTCTTTATTTCACTCCAGCACCGTTCATCCCACAGGTCAAAATCCTGGAAAAAGTGTAGATTTGTTCCTTCTCCCGACTTATCGTTTCATCCATAAGAGTGTTTAATACCTGCTTACACTTTGTTATATTCTAATTTATTTAATATGGCTGTATTAGTTAGTTTATTTATTTTGTTAAATTTTTGAGGTTTACACATTTGGTAACACTTTATTTGAAGTTGTGTGCATAAAACCGACATGATGCTGACATGGCGGGCTCTTCATGACGGTTTATGAAGTGTCATCTGGGAAATAATAACACTTTTAATTGAATTTTAATGGAAATGTTAATGAAACTTTGCATTAAAATATATTTATTTACCTGTCAGTCTCATTCACACCCCTTCAAATAAAGTGTTACCCAACATTTTAACATTTGATTTTACTTAATACTCCCCTTTGAACCTAATACTGTTAATTTAATACTGTTAGCTGTAATAACTTCAATTCAAGTAATACATGCTTCTTCTCTCCTGCTGTGCCGGTAACATGGAGTGTGTTTGTGTTTTTTATTAGCCAGTCATGACAGCAAATGCAGCAGCAATAAATAACATCTGATCATTTTTCAGTGCAGGAAAAGGGCAAGTATGTAAGAAGAATTTTGTATTTTGAAAGGGAAGTTAACACCGTATTCTAAATGGCTGAAGTTTTTATGAAGTTGTTTCGTCATGCTGTTGTTAGGCAAACGAACAGAGAACAGAGCTGGAAGCAGAGAGAGAGGGAGAGTCAGGCAGGTTAAACGAGTCGCAGGTAAGTTTCACACCGATGAGGGGAAAAAACAAAAAGATTTAAAAACAGAACAACTTAATTACAAGAACTGAAGTCCAGTTGCTTTTTTTAAAATCTTGTTTTGGTTTTGTGTTAGTTTGATGAACTTGAGTATTTTATTGAGAAAAATCTCCTTTATTTAGACGTGTAGTGAAGCGACAACCATACTGTCGCCGTTCTTTAAATTACTTATTATTTTATGCAGTGCAGTCAATATATATTAATTTTCATTTAGTGCAGACAAGATATTTAAAGAATGTATAACTTGTGGGAGAGACTACAGTACATCAATATTAATGAGGAATTGTATTACTCATTTAAACTGATTTTTATTTTTCCTGTTTTTTCTTGAAAATTCCTGATATTACTCTCAAAATGTTATTTTTTTGGCAGAAATTTTGCACTTTTTTATGTACTTTTCTCCATATATCAGGGTCATTGTAGTCATAGAAAATTAGTAAATTTCTGCCAAAAACTCAGAAGTTTTGTGATTAAGCTCAGAATTATTTTAGAAAACTTGGAAATTTTCAAAAAATAAAAAACTCAAACATTTTGACATTTGAAATTCAGACATTTCCTACTGTTTTTTTTTTGTTTGTTTTGTTTTTTTGTTGTTTTTTTTTGTAGACAATTTCTGATACTAATCTAAAAATCAGATTTTTTGTTCCCAGTAAGTAATGTCCTTGTTTTTTCTAGAAAATGTCTGAGATTACTCTCAAAACTTCAGAGGTTTTTTGCAGAAATTTACCACTTTTTTTCCTTAGTTACCCTTGTACGCCATAGTAGATTTTGCACATTTTCTGTCTTGAAAGGAAGAGATCTAGTTTTCAGCTTCTTTTGGGTTCGACTGAATACATTTATTTTCAGTAATTAGACCAGAATTTGGGTCACTTTCTTTTAAAACACTCGCTGTATTTAGCCAAGTTTAAGAAAGAAGGAAAGCTGATTTGGGTGATAAAACTGGACAAACTCAGTTTTATCTTTGGTTAAAACTTTGCGTTGTACTCTGTCCCCTGTAATAACAAAATGTAATTTCCTCCCTTCGTCTCTGCACAGGAGCACTCTGTGCGCCAGTTCCTGCTGACCAACCTGGTGGAGGAGAACGGACATTACTCCTGGAGGGTCAACCTGGAGGCCATCGCAGCTCACCTGGAGGAAATCATGAGTTTCCCCAGACTGGACTCCGTCTACGAGGGGCCAACGCTGTTTCTGGGCGGAGCCAGTTCTGCTTATATCAGGTAGAAAACATCACAGAAACATTTATCTTCCAATGAGGATAATAGACATTTGATTTTATACTTTAGTAATTTGCTGTTAGCATGTTGCTCTGGTTTGTTATTAGAGAAGTTTTCTTTTGATTGGAGCCATTGCAGAGAAATCTGTTCTGCATTTACAAACTTTGGTCATTTTAACTCATTTCTAAATGCAATAACATTATAGATATAATTCAAATTTATTCAGGATAATTTTTGTGCTTTTATATCTGATTTTAAACTAAGAAGAAACTTAAAGGTAAAAAAATATCATGGTTTTAATTTAAAATAAAAAATATGCATTTTTATTTTACAAAGTAAATAAATATTTATTTTGTAAAAATAAATATTTTAATATTATTTTAAGCTGCAGTTCATTAATAAATACAGCAGAAGTTGTCCTATCAAAATAAAAGCATCAAACCAATAAAATTAACCATAGATTATATAAATAAAACAAAGTAGCAACAATAAGCACTAAAAAGGGGATGCAAACAAATAAGGAGTTTAATTTTGGGTTACTTACACTAATAATTGAAACTTTTAGTAGTTTTCAAACTGTAACACTTTAACTTTGAAACTACGACCATCTTTGTGCTTTTCTTTCCGCTGCTGTTCGCAGCTCCGACGATTACCCAGAGATCCAGAGGCTGTTCCCCAACGCCGACATCCAGTACATCCCAGACGCGAGCCACTGGATTCACGCTGACAAGCCTCTGGACTTCATCAGCTCCATCATCTCCTTCCTCCAGTCTTAGCCGCCTCCGGCCGCGCCTGCGGACTCTCTACAGCGCCTCTGAGCGTGGAGCGGAGACGACGATAACGATCCTAATATTCGCCATAACAGGACCAAACCCGCTCTCTTTTGCAGCAGTCAGTTCTTATTTTTAAAGCCATTAGTCGTTCTGCGTAGAGGATTTTAATTTATTAGTGGTCGTAGATTATCCAGCTTGTAGATACGTTTCAGTTGACCTGTTTATAGATCCGTTTAACATCATGGGGTTGTTTTTGGAGGTAATGTACTAATCCAAAGAAACTGTCATTTGCACTGTACTGTCTTTTTGTTCTTCTACAGTGGATCGCAAAAGTTTACACACCTTATTTAGAAAGCCATGAAAGGATGCACTGCAAAAACACAAAATCTTACCAAGTATGGCTGGTCTCGTTTCTACACTTGAAATAAGACAAAACTAACTAAGTTACCTTGTTTTAAGCTAAAAATTCCTTAAATATTGATGAAAAAGTACTACTTCAACTTGCAGATGGTAGGAAAAACATCTCATTATAAGTGAAATTATTCCTTAGCATTTTTCATTGTTATGAAATAATTGACTTAAAACAAGCTCCTATATCTCGCTAAGCTGCTTCTTAATTAGTTTTGTCCTTTTTGAAGTGAACGATGATATTTGCACTAGGAACTAGACCAAAAATACTTGGTAAAATATTGTTTTTGCAGTGTAATAAATCATTGTAAACATCATGGGGACACAAATCCTGTTCATTTCTAGTGGAAAATGGAAATCTGTTACAGAGAAAGTCCAAATATTCAAACAAATTGAAGCACTTTTTGATTTAATTTCAGCTCTTAGTCTGCTTTAGAAAGACTCACAACCCCTCGTCTTGACTTAACCATATTTGACATCGACCCTCCACAGCCCAAAACTCACTGATGTTCATAATTTCTTTAACATGAAGCGAAGTAACCCCATGTCATGATGCTGCCACTGCCATGTTTCACTATGTAGTGTTGCTTTGTGCCAAGCCCTGAAACTCAGTTTTTATTTCTTTAAACCAAAGTTTTATTAATAAAATGCCCCTTTCTTTTTTTTTTTTTACTTTAATCTTTAACTCAAACAAACAGAGGATCCCAGGCTGTTCCCCAGCAAATCGTAGAAAACTCCCAGTTCTTGTCGGATGCCTCTACTGGTCCTTCATTTCTGTCTTATAAGCTTGGCTTTTATCTTTGCATCAAATGTTTTTGAATCGCAGAATTTTCTGATTACTTCAGACTGTCTTCCTAGAGCCATGCTTTTCATATAATGTGGATTTTTCTCTGAACATCACCTTCATATAGGAACCTTTTTAGGCCAATGGATAGAAATTAGCTTGACTTCAGGTTCACCAGTTTTACTGTAAATGATAGAAAACTAAAAGCTGAAATTCAGTCAAAAAGTGCTTCACGTATGCAGACTTGATTATTACGTCAAACAAAAGTTGCATTAAAATTCAAAATAAGTTGGTTATGTGCAGAGTTGCGAGAGCCGCTGTATGTATGTCCGTTTTGTGAGGGAAGTGTTTTCTGTGTTTGCGGATGTGAGTTAAAGCAGCACTGCGGTAAAATAAAAACTGTATCTGAGGAGGTTTTGGACCAAACTCTGGTCCGTACTGTAACTTTGTGGTTCGTAATAGTGGTTTATTAAGAATGTTCGATGCTGGTCGGTTAATTCGTTGTAAAAACAACCCCTCAGAGCGCAACATATTTATTATCTACTGGATTCAAGCTGAAACTTTTTCAATGCAGTATTAACACAAACTCTTTCCTGATTCTCTCAGGCTGCGACTTGAAACGCTCGGTCTTCATTTTTCCTTTGTGTCTGGCGACAAGCCGTGGTGACATTGTTGTGTCTCTGTAGTTGGTCAGTGTTTTCCCTGTTTACTGCCCGTGTATTCCAGTTATCTTTATGAATAAGGCACAAGGCTAAGTGAATATATCACAAAGTATATATGCTGCAGCGACATATGTAGGTTCCCAATCGCAGTGGTTTTGATTTAATTTCAGTCTCCTCTGCGTCGATGAGTTTGTTCCAGTAGTGAAACTGCCACATGTGAGAATAAGCAGGGTGTTGTTCATTTATTTGTATGAGCCTCTTTTGTCAAGAGGTCGTTTGCTTCTGTAAAACTTTAATAAGATTCTATAGCGATGTTCAGTAGACTTTTAGATTGGCAGCTGGGTTGCCAGGTCTGTGTGAATTAACATTTAAAGCACTAAATGTTTACTACAATCAGTGTTTTATGTTTGAATAGAGAAAAAGACTAAAAAAAAACTCAGATTAAATTAAATTATACTGACTTAAATTATTTTTATAAACCTCAACGATTAAATCCTCCTCCCGCAGGATGGATTTGTGTTGTGGCACAATTTAAGAGATTGTCAGGGGGACATTTGAATGCAGATTTTGTAGTTTAAAAAATATTTAAAAGGAGAACTGTCTGCCAACATGGGTTTGTTTGAAGACTGTAATGATTTGGTCAGGATTGTATTCTCTGACACTATGCGCATGCCTTTTCAGCTGTTACCTTTCTGTGCTGTGTACACCTTTGTTTGTTCAACATGTCCCCCAGTGGAGGCACTTACTCTGAATAATGGAAATATATAAATTTTAAATGTTCACTACATCCATATAGGAGTGGATTATATATAAATATATATAAATTGCTGGAGATATTATACAATAAAATGTCTAAAACCTGTAAAAATGTTGAGCTTTTCAGTAAAAATGTATTTATTTATACCAAGTTGTAACTGTACTTTTAGGTTCTTTACATGTTACGGTATTCAGTAATGTTTTGCACGATTAGCAACAGATCCAAGGTGCAAAACATGTTTTCCAGCAGAAAATTAATTATCAAGCTGCTTGAATCTTTTTAAATACTATTGGTTTTGACAAAATTATCTGGAGATTAAAATTTAGTTTTTTTTTTATTATTCTTCAGTTTGGCAGAAAAGTCAGAAACTTAGGAATCCAATTCTTTTCAGGTCTGTGAACACACCATACTTGAAGCCAACACCCTTCAGTGTGTACGCTGTTGCAGAGGGAAGACTTGATCATTTTCAGCATCAATTTCTTTTTTTTTTTAACTGAAGTCAGAAGAAGCTGTTTTATGAAAACTGATTTTCATCTTTCATTTCCAACTTACTTGCTTCAATAAGCAATAATTTATCAAATCTGCTCATAGTCTGCTTCACTGAAATGTGATGTTCTAATAAAAATTATATTTGAGCACCAGGTGGCTCTGAGTTATTTAAAACACGGGTCACAATCGGTCATTTCATAGGACTTGACAAGCAATAGTTACGGTATTGACAAGCACTTTTTATTGCTTGAACCACAAAGTATGTAAGATTATTTATTTCTGTAATTTTGATCAAAATTACATCATTATTAAGAAAATACTCATTTGTTGAAGATGTCAATAAAATAAAAGAATAGTTCTGATTATTCAGAAACCATAAAATGGTCATAATAGCAAAACCCTTTTTTACAAATACACCAACACGGCATAGCACAGCCTCCACTTACATTATCAATAAATAACGAAGGCTGAAAAAACATCCTGAATGCTTTAGATTGTAGTTTACATGGTTTGTTGATTTTGTAATTTTGAGTTGGAAAAAAATTAATTCAGGTTAATTGTGCATCCAAAACTCTGTGAAAAGTATCAGAAGTTGTTAGCATTTCTAATAGGTTGTAGCACGTTGTCAATATATTCTTTACTATTTGACAAACAGGACTGGAGAAAAATATGTGCTTGTTTTTCTCATAATAGTTAACTTGGTTTCTGCTCACAACAATTCAAGAGTCCCGACATGCAACTAGAGCAAGATCGAGTAAATATAACTACTTACTAAATATTTCTCTATTCCTGGACTGGAGAATGTCTCCTCTTCAAACCTGAGTCACATCAAAACTAAAAGCTCAGCAGATTCATGTGAGACCGGCTTTCTGGTGTCGAACTGGACTCCCATCATCCTGACCAGTCAAATGAAGAAGCAGCATGTTTTTAATCCATGAGTCTTTAGAAAGATCCAGTCTATTAAATGTCCTGACGGCTTCAGTCGAGCGAAACCGCCTGGAAGCCATCGTCTGCCCTGCCCCACTCCTTCTCCTGCTCGGCTGCGTCCTGATACCCGAGGCGAGGCCTGCTCTTCTTCAGCTTGTCCCGCCAGGTGCGCGTCCCGCTGCTGGAAGCAGAAGCGAGCGGAGAAGCAGGCATGCTGGGAGTTAGAGGAGGAGAACTGGCAGATTTGTTCACAAAGATCTGGTTGGAATTGGTGGTGGGAGGTGCAGGTGACGTGTACGGGAAGATGACCGGCCGCTGGATGGGAGGCTGCTTGTTTCTCCGCAACAGGCCCTTGCGAGAAGATTTATTCTGGGCCTGCTGCTCTGCCAGCTGCTGGCTCAGCACCTGCTGCTGGAGGAGCCGCTGAAAGTCCTCCTGAGGAGAGCCAAGAGAGAAAACAATGTTAAGAGCCAATGATATATGTGCCTCTTGTATCAAGAGAGGTCGTTTGCTTCTGTAAAACTTTAATAAGAAACATTGATTCTATGGGCCGGAAATTTCGCGCATGCGCACAGTGCCGGAGGGCAAAAAGATCATCTTTTTACACTCTATCCGTAGCAATTCAGTTAACTAAATAAAACCTGAAGATGTTGGTATTATTAATTAAATGCAGTACACCACAGCAAAGGTAAAAAATAAAATTAAAAAATAGCGCAAAAAACGACTCAGAATCACATTTTTCTCCTTGCTTTCTGTGTCGGTTTCGTTATGCGCAGACTCATTGCCATAGCAACTGACGACAACGGCGCTTTAAGTTTCTAGATTCAACACTAAAAACACACTGAAACAT